ATTATACAAGTAACTAAAAACAAGGTCAATTTATCAACATTTTATTTAACCTGAAGGTCTGCCACCTACGTTTCTATCTATATCACATCAATCTATATACACAGCAATAAATGATGCTCCTGAATGATAAAAGGGTTGTATTATTACAAAGACAGGAAAGTATGCAAGACATTTTGGAAAGATTTCCCCTTAAAAAGAAGGGGAATATTTAATAAAAATAAACTTTTGGGAATTAGATGTTAATTTTTGGTTATTTGTAGGTTTCAGCTGTTTACAAAGGCTACAAAAGGAATCAAGACATTTAGAACCTTAGGGGCAGCTAGGGGGCGCAGTGGATAGAGCACCGGCCCTGAAGTCAGGAGGACCTGAGTTCAAATTCAGCTTCAGACCAAACACTTGACTCCTACTAGCTGTGTGACCCTGGGCAAGTCACTTAACCCCAACTGCCTGAAAAAAATTAAAAAAAAAAAGAGGGAGAGATTTAGAACCTCCTTCAGTGAGGTCCACTAAGAACAATCTTGTCTCTTCCCAACAAGATTTACTTAATTTTTATAAGGTTAGTGAGAGCCAGGCACAGACCCTTTGGCAAGCCCTCCAGAGGACATTTCAGTATAAACACCCTGTGTTATTCATTCAACCTTCCTAGACCTCTCTGGATTAAAAACCAAGGACACTTCAATTTCTTCTCTTTGGCACAGGTGCTTTGACCAAGTGAAACCTCTCTAAGCACACCTATCAAGAAACTATTGTTTATGGAACAGCTGAAAGGTGCTTCAAGCTTTCATACCTATTACCTCAACTAATACTCACAACAAACCTGTTTAACTGTTGCTGTTATTCAGTTGCATTCAACTCTTTGTGACCCCATCTGAGGTTTTCTTAGCAAAGATAATGGAGTGGTTTTCCATTTCCTTCTCCAGCTCATTTTACATGTGAGGAAACTGAGGCAAACAGGGTTAAATGACTTGCCTAGGGTCATAAAGCTAGTAAGTGTCTAATGCCACATGTGAACTCAAGTCTTCCTGACTCCAGGCCCAGCACTCTTATCCACTGTGTCACCTAGCTGCCCCTCCTTGTGAATTAGGTAATCTGTATATTACAGATGAGAAAACCATGGCTCAGAGCAAACCTACCAAAGGTTACAAAGCTAGAAAGTGGCAGAGCCAAAACTCAAATTCTAGTCTTCTAAGTTTACTGCTCTTTCCCTTATACCATACTGCCTGTTATACAGATGCACTGATACTGGAATCCTCTAGAGGACACTCAATTGTTATATAGACAATTGTACAGTATTTGCATTTTTTAATCTTCACAGATATTTTCATATCCTGCCCTTCTACTATTACCCACAGACTTTTAACCATCAACTGGGAACATAAGTATTTTAAATATGAATGATTAGAAAGCAAATCTACTGGGCAAAAATCATAATTAACCTTTTTAATTTGGTTTTGGAATGCTATAGACAACTCCTTCCTTCCATTAGTAGTAGACTTGCACAAAATAACAAAATCTTAAAACAAGGACTTCCAAAAGTCGTGTTTTGTACTGAAGAAAAAAATAACAATGATATATAGTACCTATGTTCCAAAGAACTCCGAATATACATGCTAGATGCATCATTTAATATTCAGTGCAAGAAAAAAGAAGTATATTATTTTTCCCATTTTAGATTTTTTAAACTAGAGGCAGAAAGGTTAAACTTACCCAAGGTCATAATTAGGGGTCAAGCCTAGACTAGAGAATCAGGTCTTCTGATTCTCATCCCAGTGCTCTTTTCACTAGCCCATGATGCCTTATCAAAAAAATCCAAAAATAGTTGGACCCCCAGTTACACTGGTGCGTATAAACCCACTTTATATAGTGACCAATGTTTCAACTCACAAGGTACCCTGCTTTCATTTATGCAGTATGTCAGGCTTTGTAACCTAGCAACCAAGATGATTTTCAGTGGCACATAGTAGCCACCACCAGGGCAAAATTGCAAAGAAGGCAGTTTGTCTTTAGCCCTCTTACTTCCTTGTTAAGAACTCCCTTTACTTTTTCTCCCTTCCTTTCCCCTCCCCCAGATACCCAATGTGTTCTTGCTGCCCACAAAAACTAGACCTGCCTTCTAGAAGTGATCCAAACTCCAAAGTACCTCTACCTTCTACCTCACAAATCAAAATCTCTTCTCCTGGAATAACTCAAAATAGGTTTTCTGGAATCTAAAGACCACATTTAATGATTTCTGAGCAAAATAAGAAGGACCAATATGCTTACATACACCCAAGCACAAGTGTGTGGGTGTACGCAGCTAGTTAACTAACCTCCTAAATTAAATTGGTAAATGATGGAAGGAAACAAGGTACGCTTTAACAATGCCCATAACCGGATCTGGGCTCCTACCATCCAGACCTTATTTGGAGATTGGTTCACCAAGGTAGAACAAAATGGTAGATTTCTCCTCCTTCTTCTTGGGCCCTATTTCCCCAAGGTAGAAACTGCTTCATGGCTAGTTTCTATGCATAATGCCAGCAGACCTCACCTTAGGTGTCCTCCTCTTCTGCAGCCCTTTCCCTCCAGGTACTTTTGTTTCTCTCCCTACCTCCCTGGGACCAAGTAATGGTCCCTGTAAGTTGCATTTGTTTTCCCCACTACCAATTAAGTTCATAAACTTAATGCCTCCTGATACATGGTTTCAAGTTACATGATGTTTTTCAGGTAGAACTTCAGGTTGACTGATATAAAAGAACAATCCCAATTACTTTAAGGCTTGAATCATGAAACTTATCAAAACATGAAAATGTCCACACAAAGGACACCCTACTAATTCAAAACTTGCATAAAAAGAAAAACACTTCAAATGAAAATAAAATATTTTACTTTTCTTAAAGGTCTATGTTCCTGTTTATGGCTTGGACAAACAGCATTTTTAAAGATATGTACAAAGTCAAAATCTACAATTATAGGGGCAAAAAAAAAAGTAAAGTGAAAAAGGAAACATACAAATTAAAGTAGGATTGGAGGCAGCTACATTTCTGCAGAACAAGCCACAGTCACACTAAATTAGTTCAGATTTAAACTTGGAGGTGGGGTTGTGGAGGTTTTTTTGTTGTTGTTTAACATCTCTATACACACCTTGCTGGTCATAGCACTTTTGTGAGACTGAGGCAAGTGACTTTGATCCTCCTCCCTAACTTAGGAATGTACAGTAAGGAAATTATAACCACGTGAGGGATCCAAAAATGCAAAATACCTTGTACACAGCAAATGCTTAATCAATGTTTGCTAAATTGAATTAAGATTTGCTGTGCTTAAGTGAACTTTCAGACTTATTTCTGTAAGTGGGACTACTGAATATTACTTCTGTTATATATTTGCTTTAAAATAAAAATGTTCAATAAAGATCCTTCCTGGTATTTCTTTCAACTGAAGAGCAACAGCTGCAAAATAGCATCCCTATATTTCCATAAACTATCAACACGGTGATAATTACTACCTAGCAACTAAAAAAAAGTATTTTGAAATCTTTTCACATATAAAAACTTAATGATTAAAAAAATTAGTATATAACACAAGTAAAACTCACTTCCTTCTCCAACTCCCCCTCTCCATAGCACACTCCTCTGAAAATAAACTTATAAAATTCGTTGTGTTATGGTAAGACCTACAAGTCTTTAATGCCTTTTCTTTATTGCAAAATATAATTTGCAAAGTTAGGGAGTTTGAGATTTAAAGAAAAGAATAAGGAATACTGAGCTTGTAAAATTGTGTAGTGTTCTTTTAAAATATTAATAAAACAAATGGAAGAAAAAGCTATTCTATAAAACTATTAAAAGAAATTGCTTTCTATCTAACCCAAAATATTTTGCTGTAGAGAATAAGAAGATACAGCATTTATCAAATGGAACTCTGTGTTTTGGTATTGAGAAATGAAAATGAAACAGGGTAAGACTACACTATTCTCACGATACTTTACTTTCACTTGGATTTGACTAAAGAAATTGAATACGAATTCAGCACACGTTACTGATAAACAATCACTTTCGAACAAACTACCGTACATCACCTTTTCGGTTATAAATTCCTTTTATAAAATAAGTTTCAGCATTAGCTGGTCTCTGTACAAATGTTTTTCTAACTAAAAATCCTCCTCCCCCAGTTCTGTCACTTTGGCACCAAGTTTTCAAATTGCTTCAATTTGGGGCACATGCAAAATATGTTAACATTAACTGGATAAAGTTGTGCAGCTACTTTTGCCTGTAATTGGTCCGTCAACAAAATGGAGGTCCCTTTGAAAAACTGACCTCGACAATCTGTCACAAAATGGGACTAAACCCACCCACTTCACGAAACCATGGTTTGGGTCAGATTTTCTCCAAAAAGTGGGATTGTCTGTGTCGGGTCTGTGCCTGGCCAGAGCCCTCATTAGGGGTTTCGCCCTACACCTAAGTAAAGAGTCGCTTTCCTTGGGACTAGGGAGCAATGGAGTTTCTCTCCCAGTCAATATCCAGGAGGGAGGCGGCGAAGAATTACTGAGTTCCCTATTGGGGAACTAGTTCTCCATCACAGGGACCAGAATCCGTGCGAATGAGAAGGCAGCTAGTGGCTCCGCAGTGCGCCGGGCCCATGGGGGACCTCGGCTGCAAAGCAAAGGTCTTTCAGGTTAAGCCCGACAAACCCAAGGTTTCTAGTCTAGGGTAAATCAACAAAAATGCCCGATCTCTCGTCTTTCTACCTGCCGGCCCGACCCCGCCTCGTCCCATTGGTAGCAGCTCCCGCCAATCGTCGGAATCACCGCCTTCAGGCCCGCCCACCGGCCCCAGATTGGTGTGGAAAGAAGAGCGGGGGACCTCGTGCTACCAATCTCCGGCTCCCCTACGGCCGTCTAGCGCACTAGGCAGGTCGAGGGCTAGATGCCGCTCGCTCGCTCCGCTCCCCTCCCCCCTTCTCCACGCACTTCCCACCCCCGTCCCGGTTCCTTACGCCCGTCCCCGGGGCTCTGGCTTGTGGCTTACCGTCCCGAGAAGTGCCCATCAGCTGGTCCAGCATAGCACGCATCTGGGCCTGCGCCGACATGGCGGCGGCGGCAGCAGCAGCGGCGTAGTGAGCGAGCAATCGGGAGGGGTGAGGAAAGAATTGGGGAGCAAGCCGGACCTCTCAGGGCTGGGGGGCGGGGGAGGGGGAAGGGTAGGGTGAAGTGATGTCGCCGCCGCCGCTTCCTTCGGGCTTGCGGTGAGGGGGCGGGGGACCGGGGTAAAGGAAAAAAGTCCGGGCGGCGGCTTCTCCTCACTTCGATGTACTGGAGGAGGCAGCGACCCCCTCTCCCGACCCTCGTTCTGTCACACTCAGTCCAGCTCCCGCAACAGAAGCGGTACGGACCACACGGAAAGGCGCCACCGCCGCTGCCGCCACCCTACAAAAGCCGTCAACCCCCCCCCCGGAGCTGACGCCGCCGCTCGCCGCCACCGTCGCCGCCTACATGAGCGCGCACGCTCCTCGCGCTCACTCGTTTCCCGCGGGGACTCCACCAACTGGCGTTCAACCGCAGTACCTCCGCCCGCCCCCGCCGGGGAGGTGTTCCACCCTAACGGCTCTTGGGCGCGTGCTCGTGGCCTTCCCCTCCCGAGATCTCGCGAGGCCTCTTGTTTTCGATGACTTGTGCAGGAACTGCCCTTAGGGCCCACATCTTACCCCGTTCAGTGGGACTTTGGGGCCTTCTGGCTGTGGGCTTTTGCCTGACGCTGCCAGTCAGCTCTTTTCTTAACAAAGTGGTACGTCCTGGGGCTTAGCCCGAGTGGAAAGTAAGTAAAGAGAAGCTCGGCGGCTAGGACTGGGTTTAGTACGTGCTTCTGGCGTAATGCGTTTGACTTCTAACCCCTCCCCCGGGTGAATGCTCCCTCGCCCTGGGGGCACGGGCGTGTTGAGAGGCTCCCCCAGACTGCGTCCTGGTGCCTCAGGGACCGTCCTCTCAGGAGGCGGCTGAGCGGTTGAGGGTCTGCGCCCGGCCTCGCCGGCTGAAGGCAGCACACTGGGCAGTGGGCTGGAGTTATCGGAACCCTCCTGTAGTTGAGGTTTAGGGAGGCCTGGCCTAGGGCGCACGGTGAGGGAAGCCGAAGCGCGTGCTGCCTCGGGAGACCCGGCTGCTTGCTCGGCTTGGTTCGGCGTGACCAGAGTAAAGGACTTTGCGTGTTTTAAAACCACTCGGTTCAGTCAGCCAGCATTTATTAAATAGGTCCTGCTGTGTGGCAGGCATTGGGCTGAGATAGGACCCAGAGAGAGGCCAACAAAAGCATACCAGTTCCTGCTACCAGTGAGCGTTCGTGGGAATCGTGTGACCAGTCAGCACCCAGTCGATGGGAAAGTATTATAGGTTAACTCAAATCTAGCAGAAGAGGTAATGGATGGTAGTAAGAAATAGCGAAAATAGATGGAATAGAAAGGGATGAATGATGTCTAAAAATGGAAAACTGCATGGCATTTTGTATTGATTGAAATAATATAGGTTGAATTAAAATATTGTTAAAAGGAAAATATACATATATGGATATGTATATTCAAGTATATACGTTGAAAATAAATTCAAAAAACTTTCATATTGTGAATTACTTGACTGTCTTTTAAAATCAAATTATTCTTTTTTTTTTAATCATCACTGCTGTTTTCATCTTTGTCATTGTTGTTCTCCAAGCCAGACTTGGGAAGTGTGGCTAGTATTTGATCCAATATGCTACACAATAGCTCCATTCTCTGCTGTGTTCGCAACTCTGACCCTGCTCCTGGCTGCTCTCCTGTGTTCAGCTCACTCTAACTTATTCTTGGTATTATCGACATTATTCTGTTGATAATTAAGCACCTATGTGCCCGAACCGTGGAATACATAAAATCATTAAAGAGTTTACGAATGTAGGCAAGGCTAACATACATTAAGTCAGTAGAAGTTCTTGAGAAAAAGGACCTTTTTCCCAATATGCTTTTGCATTCCTAGTACTAGCAAAGTCCTGTGCACATAGCAGACAATTAACAAATATTTGTTACACTTAATTGAAACAGTAAGAACAATACCAGTTATTAGAAGCAGAAGGTGTGGTGTCAGTGGATTGAGCTCTGGACCTCCAATCTGGAAGACTGAGTTCAAATTCAGCCTCTGCTACTAGCTATGTGACTATCTGCCTCAGTTTCCTCATCTGTAAAATTAGAAGAATAATAGCACCTACTTCCCCGGGTGGTTGTGAGAATAACATGAAATATTTGTAAAGTACTTTGCTAGATAAATGTTAGTTATCATGAGGGGCAGTTTGCTGATGCTTATAAGTGTAATTAAAAACTCAGGCAGATTAACACTGGTGGCTGATAATTTTATTAGGAAAATGCTTAACAGGAGACATGATCCTTGAGCTAGACTTAAAAGGAAATTGTATTAGGAGAGGGCAGAGAATTCTACAAGACTGAATACCCTAGAATGAGGAATGTACATATCACTTGAGGATTGTTTACATTAAGTAGTAGACCCCACTCCCACCTCCACTAGACTGGTCTCCTGATAGTAGGGAAAGGTGAAGGTGGAACGTTTGACCCTGGGAAAAAGGGCCAACTGAAGCTTTTTGAAGAGGAGTGCTATGGTGAAAGGGAATGAGTGTAGCCCTGAGACTGGGAAAGGAGAGATGTGAAAGAAAACATGAAAGTAGGGGGGAAAACCTCACATAAATTTTGAAAGTCAAATAAGCTTCAGTTTGAATCATTTTTTCTGAATGATTTGGCACAACTATAATATATTTGATAATTTCTTTTGTTCCTTTTCCCATTATAAAGTATATAACATACTTTATAAATGCCACAATAAGTAGGCATATGAACATAGTCCACCAACAATTAGGAGAGTTCTTGATTTCTTTCAGTGATTTTGAGACTTGTTTGGTCCAGAACACACTAGTTGGCAAAGTCCAAAATAGTGTTCTGGTATTATGGTATGAAAGATGCTATTTATCAATGGGCAAATGGGAAGCATGCTGGAGTGTAGGTTTCAAGCATGGAGAATCATGGGGAACAATGTAGTTCAATAGAACTTTTGCTAGATAGTACCTAGTGTAGAGTTTTCTCTTACGTACATTTTTAACTAGCAATACGATTTCTTTTATATTAAGCTTTACAAAGCTTAGATTTTTGTTCTGCAGTATTTGATGACAATAGTTAGAAGTAAAAGAGAAAGCAAGTGCTAAAACTACTTGGAGATAGGTGGCATGAGCCTGAGGAAAAGTAATCAGTGATTTATAGCATATTGCTGAATCCGAGGACCTTAAAAAAAAGCCTTAGAAACCAAGGAGGTCTGGAGGCTCTGTGCTTCTAAGTGATGTTGAAAGATAAAGACCAGGAAGCTTTTAAGAGAATAAAAAGGAAAACCTCTAAGCTAAGGGCAAGCATGTCCTGGATTATTTCTGAAAAAGAGCTCATTCTCTTGGAAATCTAGGGTGGTCAGCAAAGTGTATATAGTTTAGTATGTATTCCAAAGCATTTGACTGAACAGGCAGTATGGTACAGGGCAAACATCACAGGATTTGGAATCAGAAAAACTGCATTCAGATACTACCTGTTATTACCTGTTTGGCTTTGGGCAAGTCACCTTTTTTTGGACTGCAGTTTACCCATCTGTAAAATGGAAGGGTTGGACTAGGTGATCTCTGGAGCCCATTCTAGCCCTAAATCTATGATTATGTATCATCCGTCACAGAAGGAAGAATCAACAACAACAACAATAATAACAAAACATTACTGGTTGAAACATGGGGGGCAAGAAAAAGGGAACAGTTAAGAATGACCTCAAGGTTTCATGATTATTAATTAAATAGCTCGCAGATAGCAGACACTTGTAGGAATAGAAAATAGGAGATCCTGCTTGTTGCATGAAATTACTGTGTTGAGCATCCTGGCTTCTGGGATGTTTCTGGCCATTAAAGGAAACAATGCAACACTGGGATGTCCCATGCCAAGATTCAAGGTGATAACACAATCAAGCAAACATTTATTAGTCATCTACTATGTTCCAGATGCTAGAGGTACAAGACAAAAATGAAGCTGTCCCCATCTTCAAGGCATTTAGTCTATTGAAGGATACACTATGTATGTAAGCAGCTAGTGGCCCAGTGTACAAGCACTGAGCTTGTAGTCAAGAAGACCTGACTTCAAATCTGCCCTCAGATACTTATTAGCTGTGACCTTGGGCAAGTCATTTCATCTCTGTCTCAATTTTTAACTGTAAGATGGAGATAACAGCACCTATTTTCCAGGATTGTTGTGAGGACCAAATGATTGTTGATATATTTGTAAAGCACGTAACATAGTGCCTGGCACGTAGTAGGTGTTACATGCTTGCTATTACTATTATTAAAGTATACAAAATAAATACAAAGTAATTTTAGGAAGAGGGAGGCATTAGTATCTAGGGAGATCAGGAATGGCTTCATGTGGGAGGAGTGTTTGAGCTGAGCCTAGAAGGAGGCTAGGAATTGTAAGAAATGGAAATGAGAAGGGAGTGCATTCCAGGTGTGGGGGACAGCCCACATAAAAACACAGAGATGATAGGTTTGTGTAAAGAATAGCAAGAAGGCAACAAGGCTGGAAAGTAAGTTAGAGCCTAGCTTTTTGGCTTTAAATGCCAAAGCGATGTGTTTTTTATCCCAGGGTCAGTGGAGTACAGGAGAGTGACATGTCAGGCCTATCCTTTTGAAATAGCAGCAGCTATACAGAGGATGGATTGGAGAGGGAAGGGACTTGAGGCTATTGCCACAGGCCAGGGCAGAGGTAACGAAGACTAACTGAGGGTTGTGGGTCTGAAGAATGTGAGAAGTGTTATGGATATAGAGTCAACAAGATCACTCGGGAAGTAGGAAGTATAATAGAAATATAGGAAGTGTAGTAGAAGTCCAGAAGAGGTGCGGGTTTTGTGGAAAAGGAATGATTTACATACACACCTTTACCCAGAAATGGCAGAAGCAGGTACAGTACACAGGCCTTCTCTAAGAACAGAAACATCAAGTTCACCTTTTTTTTTCCACTGAAAAAAGTGTATTTTCTGATCAGCTCAATACTGCAAGTATCTGTTATTCATCATCATCAGACATTTAAACGTATTAGGTATACTGGTGTAATGTGCTACACCCTATGCAAAACATGTTAAATATGTTCCCTTTCTCTAGATTTCACATGCTAAAAAGCCACACTAATCCATGCGGAACACTTAAGGAGACGTTACTGCAATGAAAAAAGATTTAATAATGTTAAAACTTGTGTTATGCTATTTACAGATTTTTGTATTAATAACATTTGAGTTGGGAACTGGTAAATTGATTATTCGAGCTGAGAATCATGGAGTGAATGAGAACATTGTTTCAGTTTTGAAGATGATGTGAGAGCTTTGGCTTCACTCCCTCTTTCCACTCCCTCTGCTTCCAGCCACACTTCTTCTGGTTTCCATAATAACCCAAACCATCATAAGTTTAAAACTTACTGGAGTTAAGGAGTGTTAGAAAACATTGCTATCTTGCTGCTTCCTTTCTAAACCCACGTGCTTTAGTGTGGAGTTTACATGTCCCAAACCTGATACGTAAATTAAGAATTATTAGAAATCTTAAGTAACTTAGTATTCAGACAACAGACTATCCTCCCATCACAGCTAACAAAACCCAACGTCTGCTATAATATAGACGTATACTACCTTGTGTTGTTACAATTTTATTATGTATACCTCTTTTATCTCCCCAAATCAATAGTAAGCCCCTTAAAGTCAAGAATCATGCCATACATGTCATTTCAGTTTTCACTGCTAAAAGTGCCTTATACTATCATGGCATTTTTGACACAGCATTTCTCTCCTTTTCTTGTGATATTCATGGTTTATATCATAAAATTTACCACTTGGTTAAAATAGCAGTGTGAAGTAGTAAAATAAGTACTATACTAGGATCCAGAATTCAATTAAGTTAGCAGGTAGTAAGTCATTGAACATTTATTCAGCAAGCACTACAAGTGCAAGACAATGCATGGAGATAGAGAACTTTGTCTTGGCTTTCCACTTGTTAACTGTAGGAAGCTGGGTAGGCCACAATCTCTGTAATTCCATTTCTCCATTTGTCAAATGAGGTTGATAATATTGATACTGCTGCATCACAAAACTGGTTTAAAAATCAAATGAAATATTGTGTATAAAAGAACTTTGAAAACTGTAGAATATGAATGGTATCAATACTGTGTTCATTCTAGAACTTTATTTTCTGTCGTATTCTAATTTGTTCTGGTTGTCTATTTTACATATTGGTTTTTTCTCTTTAAAAGGTTTACAAGCTTTGGGAAGGTAGAATTTTTGCTTCTTATACCCTCTCAATGCACCCAATCAGTAGAGAGAACAAAAGTATTATAGAACTTTAGAATCAGAAGGCACTTGAAAGGTCATCTAATCTAGTCCAAACTGAAGCAGGAATCCCTTCTATAACATTCCCAACAAGTCATTGGTCTCTCCTTGTAATAAAAAGTTCATTGCGTTATGGGGCAACCCATTCCATTTCTGAACAGTTCTAACTGTTGAAAAGTCTTTATAATGAGTCAAAATCTGCCTTCTTATTTCCTTCTTCTGGCTTCTCAGACCAAACAAATTGAGTCTAATCCACCTTTCACTTTGCAGCATTTCAAATAAGGTATTTAAACATAGTGATTATGTCCCTGCCCCCCAACCCTTCTTTCCTTCCAGCTATACCTACCCAGTTTCTTCAAATGATCCTTAAATGGTTTTAAGTCCCCTTTCCACCTTCTCCTTGCTCTGTATAAGATTATCAGTTTAATTCCCAAAATATAGTACACAGAATTGGACCCATCGCTACAAGATCTGGCAGTTTGGTTTTTATTTTATGATCATAAAGTTGATTGTCACTCCAGCCTTACATGTGGAAGGAAAAGGGAAATGAAACTCAAAAAGAATTGCAAATGAGAGCACATGGGTGGCAAGGGAGAGGGAGAATGGTACACTTTCCAAAAAGACACGGTGTTTGGTGGTTAAAACAAACAAAGATTTTATGAGAGTTGTTTATATCAGCGTTAGTGATCTTATTGGTTTTGTTATCCTAGGCACCAGAGGCATCACTTTCATGGTTTCTTTCACCTGACCAAAGACCATGTATTTTCCATCCCACCACTGAGTCTTTACAGTAGAGAAGAAAAGCCACTGAACCATTCGTGTTGGGACAAAGTGAATGAACCTGTTTACTTCAGGATGAAGTTCAAATTTTTCCCTTAAGATTGACTTGCCACCAGTGCTATCATAGCCCTGCTGTGAGTTGCTACTCTGGTGCATAAGCCTAAGAAAGATTCTGTGAAAGCTGGAGTCCTTGTAACAAAATTCATCCTCACCATATTAAGAGCATTTAAATTTCCTGCTGCTTTTGAAACTTTGTCAATAGAGACCTCAAAAGTGACGGAGCCCAGGGACAAGGTGAGAGAGATGGGCCATGGTTAGAGAGAGTTTGTTCTGAAAACAGCAGTGACTATTGCCTCCCTTGTTCTGAACATTATACAGAAGTATTAGTGCAACCAAAGATAAGCTGCCATATCACACTGCTGGCTCTTTCTGAACATGTAAGTCTCATAGTTCTTTAGTATTTGTAGGATTTATAGCTTGAAGGAACTTTAAAGATCACTGGTCCAAACACTTGCTTTGTATTACAGATAAAGAAACTGAGACCCAGAGACTTGCCTAAGGTCACAGATAACACATAGCTGAGCTAAGATTTGAACACAGGGCTCATTCCACAAAATGAGTATTTGCTTCTCTTCTAAACATTAAACTAGATGCTTTCCCTTCCTCTTTCCCTTATCTTATGCTGTGACTTCTGAGTGGAAACTGGAAGTACTGTCAGGCCCAGGAACCTCTGGCTCTTATTGGCTTGTTCCTCTCAGAACCCCAATTTTAAGGTTAGGTTGGTAACATGTAGGTCCATTCTTCTTTTATTTTATATGTGAATGTAAGCTCCTCGAGAGCAAAGCTTGTTTATTAACTAACACCAGTGCTGAATTAAATAAAAGTATTTAATTATAATGCAACCAATTTTGGTATCTCCTATCCTTTCCCCACCCTAGCATTACTTCTCCCTCTATTTTATTTTCTGATCCTTCATGCCAGCTTCAAAAATGAAAGATTTCTCTCTTCTCTCAACACTAACCCTGCTGTTTATGTTCTGGAGCACATCCTTCACTGTCTCTATGCCTTATTCCCAAAATTAACACTTCCTTGAAGAATGCTAGTATATTTCATCCTTCCCTCTCCTTGCATCCTTCAAACCAACCCAGATCTCCCCATCTTAAAAACACACGCACACACATAAAACCTTCCCTTGGAGCCAGCTGCCCTTCTCTGTGCTTTCCAGTTGCTCTTTTTGTTGCTTAACTCCTCAAATGTTCTGTCCCCATTATTTTCTTAATTTCTTGCAACCTGGCTTCTGCCACCATAATTATACAGAAACTACTCCTGAAGATCTCAAAAACCTTTCTACAGCTAAATCCAATGGAGTTTGCTCACTCCTCATTTTTCTTACTCTCTAATGGTAATAATAGCCTTCATTTATCTAGTGCTTACTATGTGCCAGGCCCTGTGCTAAGCACTTTACAAACATTATTTCCTTTGCTCCTCACAACACTAGGAGGCAAGTGCTATTATTATCTTAATTTTATAGATGGGGAAACTGAGGCAAACCAGTAAAATGACTTTTCCAGGGTCACACAACTAGTAGTGTCTGAGCCTGGATTTGAACGTGTCTTTCTGACTCTAGGGCTAGCATTCTATCCATTGCACCACTTAGCTACTTTCCATAATATTTGGCATTGTTAATCACCCATTCCTTTATATTTCCTTCTCTATGACACAATTTTCTTGTTGCATTTATAACAAAAAGCCTTTCTGGTTTTTTTTTTCAGGTAGATGAACTCTGTTAGAGATTGAAATGGGTCCATTTTAACTTGCAGGTGTAGTCTAACTCAGCAAGCTGAGAAACACAATTTTATCATTTTATCCAGCAAGGATTAGGGAGCTAATCCTTCCTAATTGAATGCACAAGACAGTGATTAAAAATTCAGAATGTCAATTAATTTACTAATAGATCTTTACTCGGAGAACTAGGACAAGTCATTTTTACAGGGGACTCAATAGGAAACCAAATTATCAATCAGAAAGCTGTTTGGGAAGTACAGAATTAGAACACAGGGAGCTGGATGTTCAAGTTACAAGTAGAAGTATTTCTCTTCTTCATTCTAGGCAGATTTCTGTCTAACCCGAATTTTCCCTAGACATTCACAAAGTTTTACTCTCCAGCTCCCTTTTTTTCTAGACTACAGGTAAATCAATTTTATTATATCCCACAATGAAGGACATGCTACATTTATATTATCACACTGATTACATTGTAGTTGCCTTCCTGAAGAGATCTGGGAGATAACATAGTTTGAAAGACAATGTGGTATAGTGGATAGAGAACTGAGGCATTAGACCTGAGTTAAAGTACCAATTCTGACACATACTAGGTATATTCGTGATGTCAAAACCAAATTTTAATTCCTGTGATAGCAGGGACTTTGTATTTGATCAAGATTGGTTATTAGAATAATAAAAATGACAATTCTACCTAAGCTAATTTACTTATTTACTGCCATACCAAACTACCAAAAAATTATTTTATAGAGTTAGAAAAAATAATAACAAGATTCCTTTGAATAACAAAAGGTCCAGAATATCAAGAGAACTAATGAAAAGAAATGCAGGGGAAGGTGGCCTAGCCATTCTGCTTGGTACTGGCTAAGAAACAGAGTGGTGGATCAGTGAAATAGGTTAAGTAGTCAATGACTATAGTAATCTATTATTTGATAAACCCAAAGACCCCAGCTTCTGGAATAACAACACACTCTTTGACAAAAGGGCTGGGAAAACTGGAAAAGAGTATGGCAGAAACTAGGCATAGACCCAAATCTCACACCACATACCAAAATAAAGTCAAAATAGGTTCATGATTTAGATATAAAGGCTGATACTGTAAGCAAACTAGGAGAGCAAGGAATAGTTTACCTATCAGATTTGTAGAGAATGGAACAATTCATGACCAAACAAGAGAATAGAGAACATTGTGAAATGCAGAATGGATACCTTTGATTACATTAAATTGAAAAGTTTTTGCACAAAGCCAATGCAACCAAGACTAGAAGGAAAGTAGAGAATTGGGAAAGAATTTTTACAACCAGTGTCTCTGATAATGGCCTCATTTCTAAAATATATAGAGAATTAAGTCAAATTTATAAGAAAACAAATCATTTCCCAATTGATAAATGGTCAAAGAATATGAACAGGCAGTTCTCAGATGAAGAAATTAAAGCCATCTATAGTCATATGAAAAAATGCTCTAAATCACTATTGATTAGAGAAATGTAAATCAAAACAACTCTGAGGTACCACATCACACCTATCAGATTGGCCAACATAACAAAACAGAAAAATGATAAATGTTGGAGAAGATGGGGGAAAAATTGGAACACTAATGCATTGTTGGTGGAGTTGTGAAATGGTCCAGCCATTCTGGAGAACAATTTGGAACTATGCCCAAAGGGCTACAAAAATGTGCATACCCTTTGATCCAGCAATAGCACTTCTAGGGCTATATCCCAAAGAGATCAAACAAATGGGAAAAGGACTCACATGTACAAAAATATAGCAGCTCTTTTTGTGGTGGCAAAGAATTGGAAACTGAGAGGATGCCCACCCATTGGGGAATGGCTAAACAAGTTGTGGTACCTGAATGTAATGGAATACTGTTGTGCTATAAGAAATGAATAACAGGCTGACTTCAGAAAAACCTGGGAAGACTTGTATGGTCTGATGCTGAGTGAAGGGAGCAGAACCAGGAGAACGTTGTACACAGTAACAGCCATGTTGTTCAATGACTAATATTGATAGCCCTTCACACCAATACAAGGATAACTAAGACATCTCCAAAGGCCTCGTGATGGAAAATGCTATCCACATCCAAAGAAAGACCTATGGAGTTTGAATGCAGATCGAAGCATACTATTTGCTTTTTTTCTCCTATTATATTTTGTTTCCTCTATCTGGTGGTTCCTCCTATTGGTTCTAATTCTTACTTACAACATCACTAATGTGAAAATATGTTTAATAGGAATGTATCTGTATAGCCTATATCAGATTGCGCACAGTCTTGGGGAGGAAGGTAGAGAGGAAGAGGGAGAAAAATTTAAAACTCAAAAGCTTATGAAAGTGATTGTTGATAATTCAAAATAATTTTTTAAAAGATTGGTTATTAGATAACAGGGGGAAGAAATCCACAAATAAAGTTTTATTGATGATGTTTATTCTATATTCTTGTAGCTAACTAGTGTTGCTTGTATGCCATACTATTTTCCCTGGACCTAGCAAACTCAGCACTGTACCAAGCACTAGGGATACAGGGAAAAAGCAAAAACAGTCCTTGCCCCTAAGGAGCTTACATTACACCACATGATGCCCCTGACAGTATTATTCTGCATCTTCTTATTAATCTATGGCCATCAAGTCAATACAGGAAAACAGGGATACTGGCCTCCCAGCACTTGTTTATGCAGAGTGGAAAATACTCTTCCAGATTACAAAGACTCAAAATAACAGCCATAACTGCTATTTCAGATTCCAAACTGGAAAACACAGAATTAGAATCATCCTTTAAAGTGATACTTGTATATCAAGCCAAGTTTGATCTGTATATTCCAGTCTGTATCATAGGTACTAATTTTTATACAGTCATGATCAGTGGAATTTAAATTTCTGATTTAGGCCACATTGTCATAAAGGCCACATAATACTGATTTACCAAATTAATGGTACAATACGAATACTACTGACTAGATTCGTGGATGTGAAGAGATTCAGAACTGTAAAGATTCTTAGGAGATAATCAAGTCCATTCTATAGGTTTAGTTAAAAAAAAACTCCATTTGTAGTATACTTTTCTCATAAAGAGATCTATAAATTCTAGCAACTGGTATGGACATAGGTAAATGTTACCAATTTCATACAATCAATTAAAAATTCAACTCCCATATGACTATATTCAAATCATCCTAGAAAAAGAGGGTACACTAACAAAAGGTAAAAAAAAATACATATATTGTTTCAAAGCTGTGGGCTGAGATGATTCTCAGATCCACAGAATTTAGGATTAAAAGGGATCTTAGAGATCATTTAGTCTAACTCCCTTATTTGAGGATGGAAAACTAAAGCCCAAAGTAGTTAAGGCACAGGCTGAAGGTCAAATATATTGTTAGTAGGAAGGAAGCAACTACAAGTCCAAGGCTAGTACTCTTTCTACTGTATCATCCTATGATCTAGGTAAGGTCTTGTGGGTCTGATTTTAATACTCAGATATTAAAATTTGATGATTTTTCTATGAAAAGATATATATGTTTACATCTTCTTGAATAAGAAGGAAAATTATTGCATCTTCTCCAATTGAGAATTATGTAATTTACAACTTCAGGGTTTTGTTATCCCCAAAACAAAATGGTTCCATGGTGCCTTGTCCAGTTATGATTGCATATGTATATTA